GTCTCGCTCGTCTCTTCCTGGGATTCGGCGGCGGCAACAACGGGGAACCGTCCGGTGCACCGGTGAGCGTTTACCCCGTACTTTGTACCTTTGTGAACGACCGTTCGGCCGTGGGCGATCTCCACACCGACGGCGTTCACCAGCTTATAGCCGCTGTGTTGTTATTTGTTTCATTGTAAATAAACAGTTTATCACCGTTACCAACGTGACTGGTGTCTGTTTGCGCTCAACGAGCAGCATGCTACGCGAGTACGAACCCGCTTCGCGGTAGAGCGTCTCGCCGCGAACGTGGAACTCCCAAAGGCAGTGGTCCTAGGGAGAACCACAACCTAATAGACATTGGAGATCTACATTACACACACTTTCAAAACTCATCACATGCTCGCCTTGACAGGATTTATGTGAGCGGTGAATCGTTCCCTCAAATCAGTGACTAATGTGAAACCAATATTCTTCTCTGACCAGTGCCTAGTATCAATTTGCATCGGTGAAAAAAAAAAAGCGGTCATCTTTTCGCCCCGAATGGGGCTTGTGGAAATTTGATGTAACTCTCCTTTCTGAAAAGGGGTTCACTGAACGCATTCCTTGTCTGTTGTCAGATGCTTTGCGCCTCCCTACACTTACCGTTTTTGCAAAGTGGGATATGTTTAAACAGAACGTCAAGAATTGGGCCATTGAATATTCGAGTATCCAGGCGTTTGAGCGGAAGAATGACCGAAGAAAATTATTCAACAACCTGGCAACCTTACACGAACTTGAATCGTTTAGCCCTGGGACATACACAGAGGAAATTAACATAACCAAAGCACAGTTACAACGATTTGATGCAGACAAGTATAGAGGACATTATAGATGCAGGCAAGTATAGAGTTAATGATTTACGCTCAATGAACCCCTAACACGTCGATTGCTAAATGATGAGAGAAGATACGCCCTGTCAAAACAAATTCTAGCGATCAATAACGAAGGCACCACTGTGTACGATACACCTGAGATTCTTAGTCTTCCAAGACCACTACACCAACCTTTTTGGCAAAGTGACCCAAATAGGGATACAAAAGGTGTGAAAGAATTACTGTCCAACTTACCAGTCCTTTCAAAAAAAGAAGAAAAAGCTTTGATAGATGCAGCGTTAACCGTTGAAGAAGTTCGATATGCCATAAACTCACTTCCCATAAATAAGACACCAGGTCCCGACGGACTCAGCGCAGAATTCTTCAAGACAATTACTGACCTATTAGCTCCTGTGCTGCTTGATGTCTTCCACGTAGGGTACCAAGAAAAAATACATCCACCCACTTTTTATCAAGGTCATACGGTCTTAATACCTAAAAGTACAGATGAAGAAGTGCTGAAAAAGACTGGAAGCTACAGACCAATATCCTTGTGTAATGTAGACTACAAGATTTTTGCAAAAATACTCACAGAAATACTTCACATGGTAACTCATTCTCTAATTGGAGAACACCAGACTTGCGGAATCCGAGAAAGAACAATTCAAACCACGTCGCCAGATCCGATCCGGAGTGTGCGACGGATAGTAACGATTAAGTTGCATTGGTACAAGTTGATCTTTCAAGTCTTTGATCGGGTCAGTCACTCTTTTTTGTTCCAAATTCTTCCCCATGTCAATATTGGAGACACTGTCCTTTCAGGCGTTCAGTTATGTTACAGAAGTTGCTCTACCAAAATCATTGTTAATAACACTCTTTCAGCCCCAGTCGCTGTGAAATCTCCAGTGAGGCAAGGATGTCCTCTATCTCCTCTTCTGTTTGCTTCATATTTCGAACCATTGTGCCTTAGTACAATTAGAAACCTTAATGTTCGAGGGTACTTCATTAATTCCACTGAGGTGAAGTTGTTGGCTTATGCCGATGACGTCGCATTTTTTTGCTCTGACAAGGAAAGTGTAGAAGAAGCACTTCGGGTAACGCATAATTTTGTGCGTTGACAGGCGCATCTGTTAATAACGACAAGTCGAATGGATTTTGGTTGGGCATGTGGGGAACAACGTCATCCAAATTTGCAGGAACCCAATGGAATCAACCAGAAATCAAATATCTTGGCGTACCACTCGATCAAACTAGGAATAGTGGGCCATACTGGATGTCAGTTGCAAAAACTATCAAACGGAAGATCGACGCCTGGCGAGTACGAGATCTTTCCGTCTTCTCCAGGGCCGCAGTCTGCAATAGTTTTCTCGCATCAAAACTTATGTACGTCCTGCAAGTGCCCGCCCACGAATCCAAGCATTCCATTGTTTGTTCGCCACCTTCATTTGGAGTTCCTCTTGGGAACGGATGAGGCGTGATAACTTGTTCCTACCTCTGGAGTCTGGAGGATTGGGCCTTGCTCATTTGTTGGTACGCCAACATGGTCCCTAGGCTGTTTCTCTTTAGGAGTAGGACACACCCGTTCCTACTCTCACTTGTCCAAACGAAGCTGGCATCACATTTGCCATTTATCATAGTTACAACTACGAACGTAAATCAGCACAGGCTTACGGGTTTTTGGAAAGAGGTTGTCTACGCAATGTTCTTTCTCAAAGATAGGCTTTCGTTGGAATATTTCTTTAGTATTTCAAGAAAATGTTAGTCTCATGCGTTGGTTGAAGAATTTTTTCCTCTTCCAATTTATAGGTCAATGTTTAGTGACGGTCCAGGACAGGATGTTTTGAAACGCGTTAAAAAGATGTGTGTATCTCCCAGTGCAAAGACATTTTTCTTTAAACTGCATACCTCAACACTACCTGTCAAGTGGTGGCTGCAGGAAAAGGGATTTTATGTTCTATGGTCCATAAACTGTCGACTACGTAACAAGCCTGAGACCATCGAACATTGTTTCATTTACTGCAATGGCGCAGTCTTTCTTTGGGATGTTCTTCAACGAACGATGAAAAAGGAGATGGATTTTACAGAACATATACTATACGATTTTTTCCTGCCGAAACACACCAACTTGTGCCATACGATTTATTCATGCTTCTAGGCCTGCATAGCCTGTGGAAGTGTCGCATGATAGACAGAAATGCTGAACCACCACATACGACAAGATCTATCTTCATTGAAGAAGTTGCCAAAGTAAGGAGCGTATACGAGGCACGCCCGTCGGTACCAGAATGGTTCAGTCTCTTTGACGCATGCCTATAGTTCTATCACACTTTGAAACATACGTTAACATGTCAGTTCATCGTTTTCGAGTGAGTGGTATGATAAATTTCCGACCATATTAATACTCTAATTTGAAGCGCGAAGTTTGTTTTGTACTTCTTGTCCGTCTGTGTAGTTTTGTACTTCGCGACTCGCATACCGTACATACGTACAAGTAAGTAGTTGAATGTGTCGTGCAACAAGGAGTGAGAACTAAGCATTGCGAGCCAATCGAGTCGACATGAAGTATTAATGTGAAGCGATTGTGTATTGATTTGTTTTGATTGTGATTAAAGATTTAAAAAGATCCCCCAGTAGCTCAGCCGGAACGACGTCCGCTTCACACGCGGCGGGACCGGGCTCAATCCCCAGTGATGACGCGTTTTTTTTTTTTACATTTTCTGATGTTTGCATTTCTGTTTTTTTAGAATTATCACTGAAGAAAGAAACTAAAAATAACAAACAAATGTTGTGGACGAAACATCACTGAAATGGGATACGATTTCCTTTTGGACACCTGCGAACTCAATGTAATCACTTTCCACAAAATGCAAGGAGCATATAAGTCAAGTAGCGTCCGCTTTCCGAGGTGCCCGTAAATGTTCTACAGGAATTGCAGCCAGCCATTGGTCCCGATCCCGTTGATCTTTCGGAAACTCTGTCGCACAATGCCACTTTTTTTCGGATGCAGGACATGTGAGCCAGCTCTTCACGCAACATCCTGGGTGTATTCTTTTCGGAGCCGCTCATGGAAATTCACCACGGGCACCCGCTACTCATCTCCAACTCCTCAATATCAGACATGAACAAATTACTCAAAAAAGGTAGTTAAGTTACTGAGTATCGACGCCAAAAGTAATTGGAGTAGAGTAGAAATTACGCATTAGTAATAGTAATTGAGTAAACTACTAACTATACTCTAAAAAGTAGCGAGTTACTTTCAAGTTACTTTCGAAGTTACTTTTTTATATTTTTGTGGTAGCAAAATGAACAGCAGTTTTGATCAATGAAAAACCCTGCGAGCCTAAAATAAATGCAGTCTATTTATGGCTTGTGTTTTCGCCAAAATAGTTTATTCGCTCGCAGAAGCAATTGACTTTCAAAGTTCTTGATAGGAGAGTTTTACCCTTTTCCTTTTAAAGACGTCACCAGCCAAGCTAAATAGACGTTCCACCGTGGCACTGAATGGAACGGCAGCGTTGAATTTGAGAAACAGGCTGTGCAGGGTCGAGTAAGCGAGTGTCGGCATCTTAGGTGTCCATGACGAAACATGTGAGGTTTCGTCTCGCTCCGGCGTCTTATTCATTTCTGCGCTCAAACTTTCGTGATGGGCAAAATTAGCACTATATAATTTCGAAAGTAGTTAGTAATTTGAGTAAAAGTTACCTGAAAAAAGTAGTTAAATTAAACTACTAATTACCCAAATCAAATTGTATTTGAAAGTTACCAAGTTACTAAAAAAAGTAGTTAAACTACAGTAGTTTGAGTAGAGTAGTTGAACTACGTCCAAGTCTGCTCAATATACAAAACAACTCATCTTGGAGTACAGAACAGCGAGCGGAACAAACATTACTGCAAAAAAATCGCACGGCAAACAGTTCCCCTTACGCCGCACGTGGTCTGCTACGCAGTGGGGGGGGGGGGGGGGGGGGGGGGGGGGAGAAAATAGCGCACGGTCGGGTGTAACCACGTGACTTCCGCCACTCTCTCCACTCTTCCGACCTCCGTGCGCGGGTTTCGGTTTCGGTGTCGAGCAGTTGCGTCTTTTGGTTTTATTAAAAAAAAAAATACGATGCTCTGTTGCAAAATATTAATTGGGTAGTTCTCCGACACCATATTGAAGCGCCTGGCAAAAAATGAAAACAAATTTATTGGGGGGGGTGTCAGTGTCCCTTTAATGTGATGCCAGAAATAATCGGCTAAGCTCCAAGTCTAAGCGATAAAGTTCGCCACTGCAGTGGGAACACGGCACAGACTACCCTCATCGAGTGTATTACTTGTCTTTCAGGATATTTAGACAGTGATAGACGGTTCGTTTCAAAATAAAAGATTTGACCAGTGCGGCACGACTACTGACCCGGGGCCATTAACTTGAAACTCGGAGTTAGATACACGAGGGCATTCAGACTGCATTATAAATGATGTCGCAAAAGAAAGCGGTTATCCACGGCGCCACACACCTGAAAGACCTGTCGACCCCGCTAACGGCGCGGTATGCGTACAGTTATTGCACAGTGTACTATGCAATGCTCCCAATTGGCGGCACGTATGTAGATGATTTAGAGCGCCATGGCGCGGAGCTTCGAAGCCTCACTACTCTGGAATCGTCTCGGTGACTAGTATATCCATAACGTTGACACCGTGACATTACGTGACGGCACGACTTTGTTCCGCGAGCTGCGTGACGTGCCACGCACGGCATGAACACAAAATCTTGATTAGCTTCCGCGAGGATGCGATTCGACATCAAAAATTAATATGACCGAGCGACACGGTTCTTTTAAGTATAGTTTCGTGGTTATCAAGAGGGACACTGGCGAGCACAGAACACGCACATTAGCAGCACCTCCAGTCTCTGACACAATGAGAACATAAGTACTCATTACCTTCTATGCTCACGAAACGCTCAAATGTCATCAAATTTGAGAAACTGGCGCTGGGGGTCTGGCAACTCACACGCCACCCTGCCGTCCTTTCAGTCACAGCACAGGCTGTTTCTTCTTAAGCTTAACAAATTTGCTAAAAAAAAAATAACTACCAAAGCGACACTGTTACGCTTTGTGCAGGCGAGTTGTACGGCCAGGTGGAGATTATTTGTAGATGGGGCAAATTATAACGATCAGTCGGCTAATTAACTATAAGTATGTTAACGTTTTCACCATCGAAAATAAACGTGTGGATTTAATTAGAAACTTGCCGAGCGTCACCTAAGTCTGATAACTCGGTCAATATTAGGAAGAGTTGGCGCGCGTGGAAAGCACGGTGGAGTGCTAAAGTTACCCCTCGGGCAGCAGGAGCAAGGCTACAGGCGTGATAAAACACCTGCGCGGTTTTTCCGTCTCTTACCATAGCCCCAGCTTTGTGCCTGTCGCGCGAGTGGTCACTTTAGCGCACTACTGCGCTTCCCACCCGCTTAAATTATTTCCAATAATTACTGATTTGGTAGCTTTAAATAACGCTCAATAAGTTTTTGATTGGCTCAATAGGTTTTTGACTCATTAAAAAGTTGATTGATACATTTTAGTTAATTATTCTATTTGCCAGGACAGTTTGTCCCTTATATTATGCCCCCTGACCATATAACTCACCCGCAGAAAACGAATTAGTGTAGCTTTCACTGTGTTAAAAAAAGAAAACACCCTGTATGTTGGGCAATACACGGAGCAGTAAAATGTGTGTCAGAAAGAATTATTTCTGGGGCAAGCTAACTGCTGGGCGTCGCGTTGAAGGCGAACTCCTCTTTGGCCTTTCGAAGCAACTCCGAATCCTTGAGGAAGTCCAGGGCTGTCAGGGCGAGGGCCCGGGCCACCTTGAGCGTGGGTTCCTGGGCGTCCCGGTCTCCCGCAGCACGGCTGAACTCCCGGGTGTGGTTGCGGGCCGTGGCCCGAAGAGCGTACACCGGGTGCGCCGTCGGAACGGCGTGCGACACGTTGGCCGCGTCCGTCGATGCTCCGGTCCCGATCACCGCCCTTGGGTCCTCGCCCTCAAAGGTGATGCCTGCGTCGAGGACAAGCGTGCTCAACCCACCATTGCCCACGTTACTGGTTTGAGAGTTACTTGCTATGAAGATGCGTGAGCGATGTACGAGAGAGAGCGGCATTTCTATCAAATGCGCCTCCTTTTATCTTTTCTCCTTCTGGGAGAAACAAGACGTCAACATATCTATCAAATGCGCCTTCTTTTTCTGAAAAATACAGTCATCCATTCAAGATATCGCTGTGTGAGTGATGTTTTGGTCTTTGTAGCATCCCGTTACGCGCATTTGCCGCGTGTTTTGGGGAATGAAAAAAAAAGGAACGCGTCACCGGTAATGCCGTTACTTCTGACGCGTTACCGCCAACACTGCCTGCAAAACAAGCGGCAGCCTAAAGAAACAGCATTTTGCGCGTGTTTTGTTTCTTCTGTCGTGAGCTTAAGTAGCATTCATTTTACTCTATTAAACTTATTGCAAACCATCGGGAACAAGCTGCACTGCCCCCATATTGCCCCACATTAAAATATCTGATGTCAGGCTTTCAGTGTTGCCAGTAAAACCTCGGTCTCCGACAAAATTAAAAAAAAAAAATTTCAATAACTTCGCAAAAAAACTTTTTTTGTGGCTTGTAATTAAGGTTACTAGCGCAGGTGTGCCTCTCAATGCATTAAGCTACTTAGGAGGCAAATCAGTGACTTAATATGTCGCCCAAGTTTTCCTTTACAGGAAGCTACCATGTTTTTGCTCTGGGCCTAAATATAGTGAGATGTGATATTTATTTAATTAAAAGACGCCCCAATATTCGCGCTGGCTGCAGCTCGTCTAGATATTACCGCACGCTTCAAAAGTAAAACGGCAAAAAAAAGTTTTTGGTTTGGACCGTTCTGCCGGGATCACCGGGCGACCGCTTTCCGCTCTCAGCGTCGACCTCCACAACGGCGCGGCCGACTTTGGCTAGCGTTGCCGTGTTCACTTTAGCAGACGACATTCAGATGATAGCGTCAACGTTGCTGGTTTTAGACGCTGCGTTCGCGCGGCCGTCTCTAAGAACGATTCGTTGCCATGGGACTCTATACTGACCATAACAGACGGTTTATCGTGCGGAAAGGAACTGCGGGTTGGCGAGATCAGGTGCCTACTTGGGCTCTTCCGCCGTGCTTTTATTGAAATAAAAGGTGAAAGAAAAGTCTAAAAAATTGCCTAGGATGGCTGATTTTCTCCAAGAGCCTATTTTTTAGCAGTATGTTTTTAGCTGGCAATTAGGACGAAGTTTTTGTACTGCAACTTGCGGCTAAACTATACCGATGGGCCCTAAAGGGAACGAATGTACCGTCTTGTCAGGTATTTTATTTCTCCGTATCTTAGGGTTTATATTATGATACTCACCAAGAGCCTCGCCGTGCCTCTGGTAGACACTGACGATGGTGTCATTGTGCAGCATGTGCTTGTATTTCATGCCCCGGATGATGTCGACCGAGCAGCCCGTGGCCTCTGCGGCGCCCCTGAAGCAGGCTTCCACCTTCGACAGGATCACGTCGAGCTCCTCTGTGCTGGGGGCCCGGATATGGTACTTGAGTTCACTCTCTTCGGGTATCAAATTCGGGTACTTGCCCGCCTGGAGCATCACCCCTGAAAGTCAACAAAACAAACCGAGATTGATTTTGTTGGAGGGTCCTACAGCGCTACTCAAAGAAAACGATGGTTGTTTGAAGGCATACCGCATGAATCACGTTGTAGAGAGGTGGCCGAAAAACATGTATTAACGGTATAAAAAATTCACTGAAAAGTCTTACGTGGATAAAAAGATAGAAATAAATAACTTTAAACCCTGATCGACGGCGTCCGTCTGTTAACGAAAGGCGTCTTATTGGCGTTTTTCTCCAGGGAGTTCTTCGGGGAGTTCTTCTGTGAAGACATCTCCGGGGAGTATTTCTCCGGACAGGATTTCTCCAAGGAGTATTTTTCCGGGGAGCGCTTCTCCGGGTAGCTCTTTTCCGGGGAGAGCTTTTCCGGGGAGAGCTTTTCCGGGGAGCGCTTTTCCGGGGAGCGCTTTTCCGGGGAGCACTTTTCCGGGGAGCGCTTTTCCGGGGAGCGCTTTTCCGGGGAGCGCTTTTCCGGGGAGCGCTTTTCCGGGGAGCGCTTTTCCGGGGAGCGCTTTCCCGGGGAGCGCTTTCCCGGGGAGCGCTTTCCCGGGGAGCGCTTTCCCGGGGAGCGCTTTCCCGGGGAGCGCTTTCCCGGGGAGCGCTTTCTTGGGGAGCGCTTTCTTGGGGAGCGCTTTCTTGGGGAGCGCTTTCTTGGGGAGCGCTTCTCCGGGGAGCGCTTCTCCGGGGAGCGCTTCTCCGGGGAGCGCTTCTCCGGGGAGCGCTTCTCCGGGGAGCGCTTCTCCGGGGAGCGCTTCTCCGGGGAGCGCTTTCCCGGGGAGCGCTTTCCCGGGGAGCGCTTTCCCGGGGAGCGCTTTCCCGGGGAGCGCTTTCCCGGGGAGCGCTTTCCCGGGGAGCGCTTTCGCGGGGAGCGCTTTCCCGGGGAGCGCTTCTCCGGTGAGCGCTTCCCCGGGGAGCGCTTCCCCGGGGAGCGCTTTCCCGGGGAGCGCTTCCCCGGGGAGCGCTTTCCCGGGGAGCGCTTCCCCGGGGAGCGCTTTTCCGGGGAGCGCTTTTCCGGGGAGCGCTTTTCCGGGGAGCGCTTGTCCGGGGAGCGCTTGTCCGGGGAGCGCTTGTCCGGGGAGCGCTTGTCCGGGGAGCGCTTGTCCGGGGAGCGCTTGTCCGGGGAGCGCTTGTCCGGGGAGAACTTGTCCGGGGAGAACTTGTCCGGGGAGAACTTGTCCGGGGAGAACTTGTCCGGGGAGAACTTGTCCGGGGAGAACTTGTCCGGGGAGAACTTGTCCGGGAGAACTTGACCGGGAGAACTTGACCGGGAAAACTTGTCCGGGAAAACTTGTCCGGGAAAACTTGTCCGGGAAAACTTGTCGGGGAGAACTTGTCCGGGAAAACTTGTCCGGGAAAACTTGTCCGGGAAAACTTGTCCGGGAAAACTTGTCCGGGAAAACTTGTCCGGGAAAACTTGTCCGGGAAAACTTGTCCGGGAAAACTTGTCCGGGAAAACTTGTCCGGGAAAACTTGTCCGGGAAAACTTGTCCGGGAAAACTTGTCCGGGAAAACTTGTTCGGGGAAAACTTGTCCGGGGAGAACTTGTCCGGGGAGAACTTGTCCGGGGAGAACTTGTCCGGGGAGAACTTGTCCGGGGAGAACTTGTCCGGGGAGAACTTGTCCGGGGAGAACTTGTCCGGGGAGAACTTGTCCGGGGAGAACTTGTCCGGGGAGAACTTGTCCGGGGAGAACTTGTCCGGGGAGAACTTGTCCGGGGAGAACTTGTCCGGGGAGAACTTGTCCGGGGAGAACTTGTCCGGGGAGAACTTGTCCGGGGAGAACTTGTCCGGGGAGAACTTGTCCGGGGAGAACTTGTCCGGGGAGAACTTGTCCGGGGAGAACTTATCGGGGGAGAACTTATCGGGGGAAACTTATCCGGGAAAAACTTATCCGGGGAAAACTTATCCGGGGAAAACTTATCCGGGGAAAACTTATCCGGGGAAAACTTATCCGGGGAGAACTTATCCGGGGAGAACTTATCCGGGGAGAACTTATCCGGGGAGCACTTGTTCGGGGAGCACTTGTTCGGGGAGCACTTGTTCGGGGAGCACTTGTTCGGGCAGCACTTGTTCGGGGAGCACTTGTTCGGGGAGAACTTGTTCGGGGAGAACTTGTTCGGGGAGAACTTGTTCGGTAAGGACTTGTTCGGGGAGAACTTGTTCGGGGAGAACTTGTTCGGGGAGAACTTGTTCGGGGAGAACTTGTTCGGGGAGAACTTATCCGGGGAGAACTTATCCGGGGAGCACTTATCCGGGGAGCACTTATCCGGGGAGCACTTATCCGGGGAGCACTTCTCCGTAAAGTTTTCCCCCAGGAAGGTTTTTTTTTGGGTGGGGGAGTTTTTTTATTGTCACCGATAGAGGCTGAGTTGAGACTTAAGGCTGAGAAGCTCTGCCAAATTACTCACCGTGCACCCTCCACGCGGGCTTCATCTGCTGTCTGAGCACGGAGATGTTCATATAGGAGGTGACGGCTGCGTCTAGGGCATTCAGACCCTCCCAGGGAGACGCTGCGGCGTGCGCGGTCCGGCCTCGGAACTTGACTGACAGCTGCAGGACGGGCAACGACAGTTATTCGAGACGTGCTGCCTTACTCCGTAAGCGAAGTTCTTTCGCCCGCAAGACGTGAACGACGCGACTTAGAAATCACTTTGTTTTTTCTCGTGTTTCGGCGAAATTAGTGGGTCCACGCAATGTCCAGCTGCGTTTGTCTCTACTCACTGTGGGCACGCATTCAAATAGCTAGTAGTGACAAAGGCAGCACACCTTTGCGTCTACGCACTAAGCATTTTAATCGGAGCTCTGCACTCTGACGTCTTCGCGAGGTCTAATCTCCGCATCTCCTTCAGTTTTCTTACCGCAAACGGGGAAGCCCGGCACAATATTGTGACAAGAGGACACCAGGAAAAAGAGAAGAAAGGAGGGAAACCTGTGCTCTAAGCGCTATGCGGGGCAGCGACCAGGGACCATACCACGTTCCTCAGAGAATGGCCCCAGGGCGGCACGACACAAAACGCCGAGGTCTTAGTCTGCACTCGCTCTTCCTCACTCTTTTGTGGTGACTAGTTAATCTTTTGTTCTGCCTGTAGATTCCCAGGCTTACCGCGCAGAGAGCAGACTGTGCCATGTGTTACGTAGCGGTAGGATCAAATATGGCGGTCGCGTATGGAGGCATACGACGTGTGGGTGCTTTTTTCGTAGAAATCTAACGGCATGTGCTGCTCCTGCGCAAGAGGTGTCAAGCCAGCATTGATTTGCAAGATGTGTGGGGCCATTACGAGAAAACGCGGAAGGGATCGGCGTTAAATTTGCTGAATCACTGCAAAAAGTACAAAGACTGTGGAAGTAGACCACGGTAAGACCAAATACTTTACAAGGAGAATACATTCTAATCCGCTCATTTACATTAGACGGGACGAAAACAGCACCAAATCATCCCCTGGAGGGCGGCGCCAACCCTGCGTCCGAGAGAACACAGGCGCATCATGCTTTCAAGGCTGTCGCGCCTTCACGCTGCGCCGAGGGATCGTTCGGGATCGACTGTCTTGGCGAATCCGGACTCGCGAATCTGGACGCCCAATGCCTCTGGAAAAACCCCGAAGGTGCGCGCGTCCAGCCATTCCACCTATGCAAAAGCTGTCGGTGCCAAGGCCATTGAATTTTCGCGGAGTGAAGGGATGTCCAAAGAGCACGCGTTTTCTGTAGTCACCATTTGCTGCAGCCGAAACGCAGAGGTTTTTCTCTAGTTCCGGTCCGTTTTGGTGAGTTTTTTTTTTCGTCTTTTTGTTTTTAGTTTAGGGGGTGGGGATGGGAACTCCCCTTCGCTTCCGTCCTTGGTGAGAGGCTTGGCGCGTGCTCATCACGTGCGTCCGGACAGTCACTGGCACGCTCTAATGGTCTTCGTCAAGGCCTTCAGTGTTGTTGTTAGTCCACAAGGAAAGGGAGAAGAGGACAGCGAGGAGGCGAGGAGGAAAGGCGTGCTGTTTGCGTGATTGAAGGCGGCACCAATTAAAGAAGTTTTGGATTTAGTATGTGATGTAGTCTGTCACTTAACCAACCTTGTGTTATCCTCGGGAATCTTTCCTGAAAAAATGAAAACTGCTAGAATTTCTGTTCTGCGCAAGGGTGGTGCTGTGGGTAGTATCAGTAATAATCGGCCCATATCAATACTTCCTCTTTTTTTCTAAAGTAATAGAAAAAGCTTTAAGCTCCGGAATAGTTAATCATCTTCAAAAATATCAGTTGATCTCTTCAAATCAATACGTTTTCCAGAGAGGTAAATGCACTGAATTCGCTCTGCTCAACATTATGGAAAAACTCATTTATAACGTAGAAAGCAAGCTCTACAGGATAGGTATATTTCTAGACTTTAACAAAGTTTTCGATTCTATTAAACATGATATACTTTTTAACAAGCTGCCATACTACGGAATTAGATAAGTTCAACTTCACCTATGACATAATTACCAATCGAATTGCACCCAGTTTGTGGTAATCAATAATATAGCATCAGGCACTGATATTATAAGATACGGTGTTCCCCAGGGATTCATATTAGGACCTATAATGTTTCTTCTTTATATTAATGACATTTTTTTCATTCCTTATACTCCAGACATTGTTCTCTATGCTGGCAATACGAATGTTGTTTTTTTTTCGTACAAAAACCTATCATCTCTTTTTCCTGTCACAAACGTGTGCCTTGAAACTTTGTCGAAGTGTCGAGATGCCACTCAGCTTATTCTAAATGTTAATAAAGAAAGTATATTGTTTTTTCTTCGCTTAACAGGCCAGTAAATCTTACCAGTGAATTATTATTTCATTCACGATCTTTAGAACGGGTTTTCGAATTCAAGTTCTTAGGTGTACAGTTTCATGAAAATCTTCGTTGGACGTCTCATATAAGCCTCGTGAAACGTAATATTTCTCAGTCATTCGGTTTGTTAAATAGATTAGGAACATTACTGCCCACATGGCTAAAGTGTGAGCTTTACTTTTCTACCGTTCATTCTAGACTACATTGTTCTTTACTCGTCTATGGAGTCACATCCAAATAAAAAATAGTTTGTGTATTTAATGCAGAAAAAAAGACATACGGTTTATTTAAGACTTGTCTGCATCTGATCACACATCCTCATATTTTGAAGTGAACCATACATTGAATATTGGGGCTTTATATAATCAACGACTGTCTGAAGTTATTTTCTCGAAACTAAAAACTGACCGTGAACTATTTTTGTCTACATATAAAAACACTGACATTTATACAAATTCAAACACAGAAATAAAAAAAAATAAAAACTGTCAAATTTCTAATTTTTTTAACCTTTATCCTGAATTTGTTGAAATGATTGACAAGAGCTTCTCACTGTTGTCCTTCAGGAAACAAGCAAAAATGAATTTCCTTCATCCGTTGTAGTTCGTTGTTTTAACGGGTCTAATCCTACATATCCATGTATTTGTAATTATATTGCTGTTGGATAATTTTTTTATTTATTTAGATAGTTCTATGACTTCATAAGTAGTATATGTTTGCTTGCTGCCTGTGATGCAAGGTTAGAAAACAGGCAAAAATGTATTTCCTTAATCCATTGTAGTTTGCTATTTTGTCCATTCCAATTATACATTCTCGACGTGTTTGTAATTATGCTGCTTTTATATAATTTTCTCTTGGTAATTTTATTGCCTCCTAGGTAATATATATATCGGGCTTTCTTCTAACTTCTTTCTTTTTTTTTCGTTGTTTTGCTGTATGTTTGCCTGCTGCCTGCATTGTGACTGTAGTGAGTGTATACCCTGATACTAGGGGTCTACTCAGGAGATTTTTTGTCACCTTTTTGTCCCAGTTCTATGGAAATATCTGTTTTGTCAAAAAGTTCGAGTAAACAAATAATCAAATGAACGTCCTCACTGAAAACGCACGCGCGCGCCGGAACCTTCACGCTTCGTAAAAAACGCACGAGCGCTTTTTTTCTACGTGTTTTTCGTTGTGTTTTGTTTTTACATTCCTTAAAGGACCACTGACAACCCCAAGATCGATATTCTTTTTACCGTCTGAAAATATTCAAAAACACGTGGCAAAACACCAAAAAAATATCATCACAAAAAAAAATTGTTGCGCGACAAAGTTTGTTAGAGTCTGTATCCACCACCCCCTTTTAAGCTCCTGCTCGTTTTTCTTCTTCATTTTTTTTTTTTGGGGGGGGGGATGCGTTATTGCAAAGACAGTTTTGAAAACGCTAAGAGGTGTCGCAAGTTGCATGTGTGTAATAATTGTCATTCATAAAATACGTTTTTTTGCGACGACTGTAAAGACACTACACCCTTGACTTCGAAAAATAAAAATCAGAGCACGGAAGTGTGCATGACAAAACATCGGACGTCCCTATGGCAGCACCCGGTGGTTGTGCCGAGACCGCTGAGAGGAGTGCGCACGACGGGAAAATCAAAAACTCGGACGAACTTTTTTTTTTCTTTTTTTTTTTCTTTTTTTATGTGCAGGATAACTTTTCGGGTAGCCTCTCACGCAGCACCTTTACAACATCGCCCCTCATGTCGCTCACCAAGGTCTGTAACAGGTCGTTTTCTCCTTTACCTTCTGAAAAAAACGTTTTTGACCGTCTAACACTGCTAAAAAGAACAAAGAAAAGAAAGAGGAACTGAAATGTGACACGTTGTCTGCACGCGAAAAAAAGTCTCGCGAAATACTTCCGCGGTTGGCCGGGTGGCCCTTGATTGTGCCCATGACCGACGAGAGGTAAAGAGAGAAAGTTGAACGCCACTTCCTGTTTGAAGTCATCGAAAAAGGCAAAGAGTGCACCATTTCGCCAACTAGTACGTCATAGATTCGGGCCGGCGTTTTTTGATATGTTTAGGGCGATCCTTACGAATCATTTTCACTCGTTTGCAATAATAAAACGAATATTGAGGGAAGGGGGGGGGGGTCAGTGACCTTTTAAGATGTGTTTCATAGTAGAGCATTTGACACGACCGTCGCTCTGGCCCTAGCAAGTAGACGTACGTGCTGCGAGGCCGTGAAGCCCATCTTCAGGGCGTCTCGGCGTCCCGGGTGTGCCATCAGCGCCACGTCCACGTCCCTGAAGGCTCCCTTCTGCAGGAGCATCTCCTTGCCGCCGCAGTTCTCCTCCGCGGGGGTCCCCAGAACAAGCACCTGAAAGAAGGGGTCGACAATGGGGTGATTTTGTATAACGTTTTAAAGTGATAGCTTTATACGGGAACTCTCCCCATACCACCAATAATAGTCAAAGCCTGCGAGCAGTCTCATCTACCTCCACGTGACTTCATCACGCTCAGTTGGCGCCACCTCAGCAACTGGGCTCGAACCTGACGCCGGGAGTCCTTGGACCAATTGACCCGAGGCCTATCCGATCGCTGACTGGCGCAACACTCGTGCGCAATCTGTGTCAACGTTACTAAATCACCTCAGTAACGAAACTGCCCATAGACGCTGCTTGCTCGGGCAGTACCTCCGTTCCACGCTCCGCCGGTTTGAGGATGGCTGCTATGGTAACCGCAGTGTATCCTATGTAATGCATACGTTGTGATGCACAGCGTCTCGACTCCAGATGGCGTTTCACCGTACTCTATGGAAGGCAAAGCTTTGCGACGACAATCTATATGGCGCTACCAAAGTGCTGGTGACGTCATCCAAATTTTACACCTTTTGTCTGAAGCT